AGGTTTATGTAGACTTTTCGCAGAAACTTCTTTCAACTTCTCCCGGAAACATAAAGCAATTTTCTCAGAAATGGTTCTACATGTAGAATGAGCTATGGTTTTTTGATTTTTTTTTGTTTAATATGCCTTTTTTACCAGAAAATAGCTGGTTCATGGGAAACGTTATTTGTTTAATTCCCCGGGAATGTCGAAATTCCATGTTTAAACATGTAAAAAAAAAGACTTTGTCATAAAATGAGAGGGAGACACAGATAATACACACGAAACTCATTTCATAGTTGTCCAAATTTTGTTCTCAGTTGAATTTTTTTAGTTCTAAATCAAAATAGGAGTAGCAAAATTGAGCTTGTAGTGATTGTTTGACGTTGTTAAGTGTATAGTGAGAAAATTTACTTTTTCGTTTTGCATTTTATTATGACACCAAAATTTTTTTAAATAAACTTGATTTATGAAATCTTTCAATATCAATATCCATCTAAACATTCATCTGGTATATTCAATGAATGGATCTTAAAAACGGTGTTCCATTGAAAAAGACGATACATGATTTGAAATCCCGGGATTTGATCGACATTTTGAAATCCTGGGATTTTTTATACGGAGATTTCCTGATAAAGACTCTCTAGCATACACACATACACCCCCCCCACAAAATCCCACAACTGCAGCTATCCAGTAAATATATTTCCATATTTCTACACTGATATTTTCTACAATACTGTTCAAATACACTAACCAGCACAACGTCAATAGACAGAAGTATCTGCTAAACTTAATGGTAATTATATTTAATTCACAAAACCAACAAAAAAAATCTGAAAAACGGAGAAAACTTTACTATCTTCTTCTATACTTTTATCGCTTTTGTAGAGAGCGTTTTGCCGGATCTCAACTTACTGCTCTAGACGAACTTACACTGTTAATCATTGAGAGCTCATAGTATGAATTTGTATATTGTGAGGCAAGCACAATGAGAAAATGTCCAAAACCGAAAGATTTCCACAACCGGACCGAAAATCGAACCCGCCGCCTCCGGTTTGGTAATATCGTGCCTTTACTGACTAGGCTATCTGAGCCTCCAGAAAACTTCACTACATTAAAATGTGATTTCCAGAATACCAATCGTATCCTTCTTTCTATAACTTATATCAACGATTAATTCCAAAATTTTCCAACAAACAGCATTTTATTGTAATACATATTATAATAAATGTGAAAATGAAGAGATTTTGATAATATGTTCGAGTTAGTTTTTCCCAGCGGGTTAACATTATTTTTTAATAAACACTCAATTCTGTTTATACGTGATTTTATTTTTTTCGATTTTGTAACCATTTAGGGGCCTCCCTTAGCTCAGTCGGTAAAGGCGCAGCTACAAAGCAAGACCATGCTGGATGTGGCTGGGTTCAATTCCCGGTCCGATCTAGGAATTTTTTGGGTTGGAAAATTTCTCGACTTCCCTGGGCATAGAAGTATGATTGGACTTGCCACACAATTATACCAATGCAAAAATGGTACAGGCATCGAAAACTCTCTAATAATAACTGTGAAAGTGCATCTAGAACACTAAGTTGAGAGCACGCAATAAGCTAATATGCGATATGCAATAAGCTTGAAATGCGAAGAAGAAGAAAGAACCATTTAGGATGAGTGCAGACATTGTAATGTCACAATTTTTTTCTTTGATTTTTTTATTTTTTTTTAAACAAGTTGCACTACATTTGTTTGCAATTTTGCGTAAAACAGAATTGAGTGTAATTATCAATTCATAAGATTGTTAATAAAAACCTTACCTTAGAATTAATAGGAATTTCAACCATGCATTGCACTTCACGCCACTTAAAATGTTAAATGATCAGACAACTGTTCAAATATATAGCTACTTACGCTTACTAATGCAGAACTACTAGTTTACTACTAGTTTGCAAAAAACTTCATCATCATCACAGTCATTTTCGTTGTAAAAACGTTCCCTGACGTCATTATTGTGAATACTAGGATTTTTTCTTGCTTGATTATCAAAAATGCTTTCGTTATCTTCGTGTAAATGCATGCCGTATACTAACACATGCGTCATAAGACTACCAACCAAGAGTGGTATTCGGTGCACATTCTATCGATTGAAAAATCACCCGACAGAGATAACCGTTTCAATTTAACGGGTTATGTATTAATCCTCCTACTTGAAATATTCTCTTTATGACGTTGACGGGCAAACAGTTTGATTTGATGTACGTGTGTCATTTCCTTGATATTGCCAGGCAGCAAAATTATGATGGCATGAATTTCCCGTGCCTGGCGTCTCGTAAAGATTATCTCATAAAGTCTAGACGTGTGACTTAAGAGTTGATGATGGTATAATAAATTTAGGTTGATTTTGTTTTATTTTTGTTTTGAAATATTTGTAGAAATGATAGCTGCACAGAAAAAAAAATCTAAATTGTACTGGTGATGTAAACTGCCATGCATGCAAACATTCATGCATGTAAACTTCCTTTTCACGTAAACTAGCAATTTGCAACAAATGTTGTTTACAAAGATGGGCGCTTTCATACATCATTAAATGTATTATCCATTTACACGATCTATAATGTGAACTTGTATGATATATAACGCTCCATTCATGTGCATCATGGTAACAAAAATTTACACTACTTTTTCGAACTGTGTGTGGCAAAAACTTATGACCAAAATTCACTCAAATCATTGATTCATTGCTATAAAATAAAAAAAAAAAACTCGTTCACGTTTATCACAATGACAATGACAATCGAACTTACATTTCTGTTATCGCCTATTCACGGGTTTGGATTTATTTTGGCGTTGATTCACACGCATCATTAGATAGATTTCAGATAAGATTTTGTATCGTGTGCACAGTATTTTCTGTTTCGGTACCTGTAGATATGTTATCTATTTGAGCAATTTTTAAATAAAATGAACAGCAACAAGAGAGTGGTTGAAAAAGTGTGGCACGGTCGGCTAACTTCCATGAAGCATAAACAGTAAGAAACTGACCTTGGAAGGATTTATGTACTATGGCTACCTTACTCGGAACAGAAGTCCTTCTTCCCTAACTTTACGACATGCAACAAAACCTTGGTCTCGTCGAGGATGGGCCATTGTAATTGCTATCCGTATTATTGTATCTCTTGTCAAGTTATCTATTTCCAAGCTGAAACGCGTGCGACCTTGACTCAGTGGGTGCTTTCGGAAACATTTATGAATGCGCATTTGTTCAATGAGAAGCTGCTTAAACTGACATGGGTATCGTTTACGACAACAATGTGTCAACTTTTCCTAGATTGGTGCTTAAAACATAGTTTAGTTGGAAACAATGGGGTCGTTCGCAAAATGTTTATCACTGGGTGAGATACGACGGCACAATTGTAGAGTGTAATGTCCACTACAGTGTTGCCTTGGACCAATTTCACGTATATTGATTTCACATGGGTAAAGGTAAAGTTTATTTTTTAATAGAGGAAGTTTGGAACTTTGTTGCTTTATTAGGTATAAACTTGTATTCTTGAATTGAGATAGGAAAACTAACACTAAGAAAAGCATTAAGTTGAGGGATGACTCATGGTTTTATATTGATTGTAGAAGAACAAGAAGAACTTCTGAATAGAGATATGATAAACTGAGTGACCAAATCTACAAGAATTAATACAACCGTCACAGAATTTAGCCTTAGAAATAGTCATACGGAAATAAGTCATTGACAGAACAGCGAATCATGAACATCGTTATAAGCAGCACACTCGGGGCTCATTTATTTATTTGATTGAGAGGGAAAAGCCCACTTCAAAGTACCAATCTTACCCCTCCTCAAGTGGGCGGAAAACCTCTGCTTTTCGTATCAACAGATAGCATTAAATCGTACAGATACATATTTGCTTAAACTAATTCAGGAAACATTAATATTGGTCACTGATATTTGGGTAAACATGATGAACAATTATATAAAGGTTAACGTCCAAGGTGGTGTGGGCTTCTCAGATATTGTTACAAATTGTAGGGGTGGGAGTCATGAAGGACGTTGTTACGAGTAACATTGGGAAATTTTAAAACATTGTGTAGTTTTCGTGAAAATTTCACTGTTATTAGCTATAGGCGGGGCTGGAAATGTGAGCGACTATTGTAACGGTATGTTTTAGCGGGTGAGTGGATTGGAAAAATGTTTTTTTATCTGCGTCATGCATTTTTTTCTTTTTTATTTAACGTCGGTCTCTGACCCGCAAAGCGTCGATTGCCAATTGGTGATAATTCGTGATCACGAAGGTGACTTCGAAACCATCAGCACATGGGCCTGGACCAACGGCTTTACTTCCCTTCGGAAGGAAGATGTGCCAGGATATTTTTTCTCACTCAGAAAAATTTCAACGAACTCTGCTGTGTCCAATCACATACACCCTGGGGTGAGAAAGCAGTCATGCTTATCACTCAACCACCGTCACTGTCAACGCAAAATTTAAACGGGCCTGAGTTTTTACTTCAGTAATAAGGGTTTTCTGCTGCCTGTTCGGTCGAGATAATATTTGAATTTGAATCTCTTCCGACTTCTCTGGACGTAAAATACCATTGTGCTATCCAAAATACTATTTTGAGGCTCCAGAATGACGAGTTTAATAATATTAAGAAGCTAAATAAAGTATTTTGTTCAAGTATCATTTCGTTTACCTCAATTAAGATCTGAATTTAACTACAATGAATATGGGTTAACTGGAGACAAAAAAAATAAGAATTCACAATATAAACAAAAAGTTCAATATATTTCCTTTAGACAGTTAACAAAGGTAAACATAAAACAGGAATAAACAACTCTGATGAATTATCCACCGGGACGATAACCTATCAATGCAATCACGTATTTTCCCCAAGTCAAATCACTCCGCGACAAATTTATCTAGAAAGTGTGCTACTTTATCAACCGCCGTCAGCACCATAAATTGCTTGACCGAGTTCAACCGGCGGATGTGGTCTAAACGTCATTAACTCACCTGGGTCATAACACGATCAGCGCCGGTACCTTCTTCATCTTTGAAGATTATATCCTTGTTGTAGTTGGTTTCTAGGTTGCGGAATTTGCTATCGTTACGTGAAATTTGTCCCTCTTGCATTCCGGAGGCACCTAACGAATTTTCACTAACGTTCGGTACATGTTGTTTGAACACTAGGGGCAGCAGTTTGCGGGTTCTTCTTGGACCACCAATGCCCCTGCCCGGACCACAGGACTGCACCTGGGATACCATATAGAGCAGAAAAATTAACAACATTGTGAAATATTTCCTTCGACTGCTGAAACAGTTTTTCCGACAGCTCAAACTATTTTTGACCGTGTTGATCATTTTACTGAAAACACGTGAATGCGAGCTATATGGAATTTCTAGCCGTTTCTGCTTTTCCTTGAATTAAGCGTTTTGCGCTGTACACTTAACTTATCACTAAACACGTCGAGGTAAACACACTTTTTTTGCTAAGCACTCGTCACTGCAACCTTTTTTTTCTATTCAATTGATACTGCATACACACGGCAAGGTATTTATTTGCTTACACTCTTGTTAGCAATCAAATCAAACTGGTCTCATTTCTGAGAACTACCATCTTCGTCTTGCGCAATAAGCTTATTCATAGAAAATACATTCACTCCATACAATTGTCACTGTATCCTATTTAGCTCAACTACCGTTTTCCGGTATAATCAAACACCTTTTTCCACCTGGTATCATTTTTGCTTCAATATGCCACATTTAAGAATACACTGCAATCCAGTTTCAAATTATCCTTTACACGTCGATCCCGTTCCTTAGATTTGAATCCCAGCAACGGACAACACGCGCCGCTTCCATTGAGTTCGAATTCGTAGTTGTGCTTTTTGGGCTTACTCACTCGCTTACATTGTCGTCACCGAGGAAAAAGAGGAGGAGATGGTAATTCGACTAGCACTAAATTAGAACTAAGTAGATGCACGGTCGAAATTTTTCGTAGCCATACCATATTCTCTCTCAACGTATCTGTTTTGTGTGTTGTTCCTTTCAGGGGTGGAAGAGGACAACCTCTCTTTCACACACAGCAAACCGACCAGCCATTGGAACTCAGACGTGAGAGCCAAAGTGTGGAAAACTCGACAAGAGTAACCTTCCGACAGTGGGAGAAATGAGTTGAAAAGCTTTTCAGGGTGAGCAACGGTGTGGTGGTGCCGAGTACCGGAGTAACCAACCTACCCACCTAGCTACAGAAAAGCCACCACTAGGCTTAAGAGGAGTGAGAAATGTTTTGCGTGTGTTTTGTAGGTTTCGGTGAGAGTGAGGCGCATGGCACGAAAATATGCAATGGCAGATGGGTGTGAGTGGGAAAAAATGTGGACAAACCACAATGAGCAAAATGAAGAAGCTAATCTGGCTGGCTGAGCAGTTGATTTTTGCGCAAGTGTTTGTGTTTTGGCGATGAGACGTCGATGCAACTTATTGTGGCTTGCGCATAGGTGAGCATGGATGGTCGCATGGAAGGAATGAATCAAAATGCTGGTTATTCCCTACCATGATAATCGAGTGCTGATGATAATGATTGTGGCTGATGACGAGAATAATACTGATAGGACTGATGTTTTATAGTAGATTGATTCATAAAAAAAAGAACCCCATTATTAGTATTGTGCATTGTCTATCAAGTGTTTGAAGTTAAGACCTTATTTTTCAGTATTTCAACGAGTCCAAAACTTCTTAAAGGTTGTCCACAAACCACGTTGACAGTTTAATTGAGGCAGATTTTAAATGTACCCGGTCCACACAAAAATATATCAAATAATGTATGGAGGATTTGTGCTCAAAAGGAAACTACGCCCGTGCGAAGCCAGAGATCAAAATAAAATTGAAATTTGCCTTTTTTATTACTCCTGTTGATTTAGTTTTGCATGTATTAACGGTTACCCAGCAAAACTTAATCAAATTGATTGCTGATTTTGATTTCATAATGTTTAAGTAGAGACGGCCATAATGCTGGCCTAATAATGAGTATCCATGCTTTTCACGCTGAAGGTCATGAAATCAAACAAGCAATAATATTTAGATCAATGGCAGCTTGTTTTTAATAACATATTAACAGCAAAACTTGCATTCAAGTTGCTTTCTTTTTCAAATGTCTTGATTGCATAATGAAAGCTTAATATGATATCAGACTTATTTTGTAACAATTGAAATCAGACTGAGTTTTCAGTATTCATTGGTTTGTATTCATTTTGTTATTCTTCTTTTCACGGGCGGTGGTTTTTCAATTATTTAAAAAGTTGACCACATGGCTTATGTACCACCCTTTTACTTTATGTTTGTCCTGTGATTCGGTTCATTTGGAACCATTACCAAAGACTCTATAAGCATAACACCAGATTTTTGCCATTCATACATTCAAACTTGTAAAAAAAAATATGAATTGTTGTAGAGGTTTAAGTCAAATTCAAACTTGGATTATGATTGATGGTCTGTTCACGATTTCTTAAAATTTAAAATATTTTAAGTATATAGGTTAAGTTAGGTACAGTTATTGCTTTTTTAAGCTTTAAATATATTCTGCATTATCTTAAAAATGGAAACATTAGCTTTAAACTTATTTTAACATATTATGTAAAATCGTTTTAAGAATGTGTTTTTTCAACGATTATTCTGAATTGAGTCTGGAATATTCCTTGGTACACAAATTCTATATATATACATTTAACTGGTCTCAAGGCTCGGTTTGGTCAGTCAAGGTGGCGTCCAAGCCTAATTGTAAACGAACCATTGCTGTCCTCCGAAGGACGATCCTCTCAGACCGTAAACTGCGGGACCGTTTATCTAGCAACATTGCAAAATTCAGCTCAATCAAACGTACTTTTCGTCGAATAACGAACTTTTTAGTCTCGGAGCACTTAATTTTACATGACATGCTTGTTTACGTTTCATCTTTATGTCAAAAATGGATTCCGTCACATTTTAAAATTAGTTAGTTTTAAGTGTGTAGCGATATGACGCTGAAGGAGTACATATTCCTTTAACTCTAGATTTGAGACATAACACAAATGATAACTTGACTTTGTAAAGTTCATTCGATTGATCCTGTACAAATTAATTAATTTACAAAAAAAAGAACCTGGAATATTTTATTCTAGTACAGTATTCTCTAACCATATTTGATTTTATTGTTATCGATACACACTTAGAAATAACTACTTTTACACGAGACGTAATCCATATTGGACGTAAATTATAGAACGTTAACAAACATTTCATGTAAAATTAAGTGTTCTCAAATCGAAACATCAGCTAGTCGACAAAGAGAACGTTTGATTCAATTGATTTTCACGTTTCTTTCAACTGATTATTATGTCAAAAGGCCCGCTTACATGTGTCGGTCTCAGGGAACCGAAATTTACATGACTTTTTAGTAGTGTGTAGATTAATAGATAAATCATATACTTGAGCAGTTTTAGGGCGAGCTCTTTTTCCAATCAGTTTATTTATTAAGGCTCAAATGTTCAAAATGGAGTGGAACGACCTTCTACCAGAGATTTTTAGATAATGGGGCAATAATTTTTGAGCCTATTACAAATAAACCACGAGAAATTCTAGAAGAAAGAAACTTATAATATTGATCTGCGGTAAATTTCTTGTGATATGAAACATCTGCTCGAATGATGTGATACATTGTTGTATTATTCACGATAAATAATTTAGTACCAGCATGTGGCGTTGGTTATAAATCACTCCAGAATCATTTGTCCAGAATATTTGAAAACACTATTTAGATGTTTCACCCTTCATTTCGATAATTTTTCGAATACTTACACCATTTTTATGAAGCACAGCACCTCTGAGTGGCAAGATCGCTGATATCTTAGGCCGCAGCCAGAGTAGACGCGACACTAGACGCGACGCGACTAATTCAAAAGAATCTTATTATTTATTATTATTTCTTGCGTGGGTTGCATCGCGTCGCGTGTCGTGTCTACTCTGGCCGCGGCCTTATATGCTTGCAGGGCGGTACACAGAGCGGTATAGAGCGCGGGAGCTAAAAAACGTGACGAGTTAGGGCAAATCAATTTTCTAGACTTTATTATGGCAAAATTGTTCAGATTCATAGCCTATCAATCATTTCAGTTTTTCAATAAGAAATATTAACTATTTCTGATAAAAAAAATAATATAAACATCTGCAAAAAACTATCAACATACATAATATAAGATAAATTTGCATTGCTCGCTAAGCTGGCCAGAATTTATTTAGTTCAATAAAACTCCTCAAAATAAACTACCGATAAGCGCTAATCTCAAGATCAATTAATCGTTTAGCGGTTTTCAAGGTAAATTCTTTCAATAAGTGTATTATCTGTTATCAAAGTTAAGTAGATAGATGTGCCCACCCACGTTTGCCATGAGTATTTTTAGATTCTTGTAATTTTCTTATATTGTTTTTTAAACAATGAAATACAAGTTGATGCTTATGGATAGTAATGTAGAGATAAAAGCAGATCGAAATAAACAAGCCGAATCATCAAACAATACAAAACTAACCGTTTTAATAAGACTGAGATAGACAATATTATTTCACCTCAAAATATATACAAGTCACATATATTAAATAAGAAGTATTACATACTATAATTATGGAACATAGTCTCAAACTAAAACAAGGCGATAGCACACCACCGTAATGATAACACTTATGATGTTTTCTTACACTTAGCGTGGATCATAGTACAGTAACAAGTCAAAATATAAAGGTAACCTCAACGTAGCTTTTGCTTCGTTATAAAGTAACTTTTGATAAGTCTGAAGACTAAAACAAATTGTCTTAGACTTAATTTTCATCACAGCTGAATTGAAAAATGTCAAAGACTTGGATGGCGAATTTCAGCAAAAATGCGATTGATACAAACAATTGTGCGAAGATTCATGCAAATCGGAGAAGGTCGAGTTTTATCGATTCGTCATTTGACGTGAAAATGCTCAAAAGTAAATCAATATATTTGGTAACGTAGCGAAATGAAAAATAAAGTTACGTTATAACGAGGTATGACTGTATTGAAATCTTGTACATAGTTGGGTTTGAAAATAGTCCAGTGTATTGGTGTGCCATTTTGTTCAATAACCTAGCAAAGTTAAAAGTATATATTTTTATGAGATTATCAGAAATAGATCTTCTGTAGAGAAATTCGCAAACCTCAACGGAATAAAAACAACGTGCGTCGAGAGCTTCGAATGGCATAAAAGCCCTGATGTTTCTTTACGATTCATACCTAGTTCCAATAAACAGAAAATGAAAATGCTTAATAAAAAGCAAGGGCCCAGCCATGAGGCGATTCACTCCAACAGGAGATACCATCACGAAGCATCCAAGAGGTGATTCTTCGATCTTAATGGTACGAAGGACTGTTACTTCAACTGTGTGCTGCAGAAAAGATGTAAACCAAAATAAATAAAACTTAAAAAGAACTAAATCAACCAAGACGAAGAAATACCAAGGTCCGAAACGGGCAACAATGCCGCCAACAACACCACACGGGCAAATGATGACGCTAAGAAGATCGGAAGATGAGAAATATCTCAAATCCCGCCCTTTCCGAAACCAATCATTTATATAAATGAGGTTTTTCTCGTCGCTTTTGCTTCTCCCTCTTTGCGCTCGTCTGGCTGTTGGCTGAATACTTACAATCCATGTAGTGGATATGCTGGTGTTCATATTTTGGCTCTTCTTGTGGCTTTTCGCGAGTGACTTTTGTGGTCATGAGTTCTCTCGCGTCTGTAGCGATATTTGTTTGTGGTCGTAACTTAAAAAGCTCCACCAGATTGAATGCGTTTCGTTCAAATCCAATTTTAAGCTTGGTCTACCGTTTCATGTTGATGCAAGTGTCAAGTTTTTCTTTATAAAAATAACGACTCCGTCTTCGACTGAATTATAAATGAAAGCTTCTCGAAATTCCATCATTTTCGGATCATCATAATTCGATTGAGAGTTTTCAACTTCAAGTCAAACCGAACAAAGATCAAATGAAACAGTACCAATTCAATAATTATAATTGATTCTG